CCCCCTCACCTGCCCTCCCCGTTACCTCTCACCTGCCCTCCCCATTGCCTCTCCTCACCTGCCCCTCCCCACCCCCTCTCCACCTACCCCTCCCCACCGTTACCCCTCCCTGCCCCTCCCCGTCCCCCTCTCCTCCACCTCACTCTCCCTGCCCCTCCCCGTCCTCCTCACCTGCCCTCCCCCTCCCCCCTCTCCACCTGCCCCTCCCCCTACCCCCTCTCCCCCTACCCCTCCCCACCGTTACCTCCCTGCCTCCCCAGTTACCCCCTCCCTCCCCCTCCCCTTACTCCCTGCCTCCCCATTACCTCTCCTCACCTGCCCCTCCCCACCCCCCTCACCTCCCCCCCCTTACCTCCTCCCCCTCCCCACCCCTCTCCCCTCACCTGCCCCCCCACCCCCTCTCCCTGCCCCTCCCCCCTCCTCCTCCCCTCCACCCCCTCTCCACCACCCCCTCCCCACCTCCCTCACCTGCCCTCCCTTGCCCCTCACCTGCCCCCCCCGTTACCTCCTCACCTGCCCCCAGTTACCCCCCTCACCTACCCCTCCCCATTACCTCCTCACCTGCCCCTCCCCTTACCCCTCCACCTACCCCTCCCCCCTCTTCCTCCATCCCTCACTAGTATCGACACAATAAACCCACACTGTACCTGGTTTTTACAGTGGACCATTAAGGGCGAGCCACAACCAAACACGCTGATTACAGGGTATCGAACCCACGTACCTGCAGCTTACTAGTCACAAGTAAAGTACCTCTAACCCTAAGCCCTAGTTATCAATACACGACAATGATGTAAATAATATAGGAATTGATGATTTAGTGTTGTCTAGGGTGGTATAGCATTCTACTGGCACCCTATTGGTACTCTTTATAATGGTAAGGTCAATGCAGAAATTATTTACCATGTAGTTGTTGTCGTTATCCATTTTAAGTGGTCACACACACACACACACACACACACACACACGTAAGAACGGTTTATCATCTACTTGAGAAAATATCTAACCTTACCTATTCATGAATGATTTATAGTTCCTGTGACGTAATACTGTAAGGTATACCTGTGGTGATGGAAACCTTTAATAGATCATCACTAAGGGGTTAGGTTGGGTTAGGTTAGGTTATGGATTGGTTGGGTTAGGTTAGGTTATGGATTGGTTAGGTTAGGTTAGGTTTGGTTAGGTTAGGTTTGGTTAGGTTTGGTTAGGGACTGTAATGGAACTTTCTGACTGACTGATTCTCCATGCTATTATAAATGGTGTTTCTATATGGCCGCTGTCACCTAACCTAACCTACATCCCTGAATCTATATGCCTCTCACTCAATTAGTCCAATCAACTTTTCATACACACGTAACTAAATCTTTCAGCTCGAGTCACAACATCTTCACTACCTATCTATCCTATCAAGATCTGTCCATTTATATATAACTCCTATAATTAAATCCTACTAACTTTCATTCAGCTTTAAACCTTTTCTCTATTCATTTGGGTTTAATTTCTTCAAACTGAAAATGAATACTGAAGTAGTTTGGGTAAAGTGGGTTTTTTTTATTTAACTTTGATACTATATTTGGAAGTTGAGTTTATAGGTTTAGGTTTAAGGTTAGGTTAGGTTAGGTGAGGTGAGGTGAGGTGAGGTGAGGTGAGGTGAGGTGAGGTTAGGTGAGGTGAGGTGAGGTTAGGTTAGGTTAGGTTAGGTTAATTCTTACATTTCATAGACCAAGAGAAAGAGCACAGTACTTCTTAACTAACATGGCATCTTGACCTGCACAGTGTTTAGCCAGTCTTTTCTCCAAGGTCAGCATATTTAATGACGTGATCAGCAGCCCAGGTAAGCTAATGTCTCAACCAGGTGTGAATACGTGTCTGCAGCAGCTTCATAACCTAACCTAACCAAAATCTAACCTAACCTAAGCTAACCTCCTTACACCACTTTCCCCATCCCCTACCATCCCTCCCTCCTTCTCTTCATCTATCCTTCCCTTCTCTCTTCCCATTCTCTTCTATCCCTCTCCTCTCCCCAGACCCAATATATAAACAGTGAAGTTCTCTTTTGTCTCCACTAGCAAGAAAGTGACGTCACCTCCGGAGTCCTTATTAGCCAGCAAGACGAGATAAACGAGGAAGAGGAGGAGGGGGAAGAGGAGGAGGGGGAAGAGGAGGAGGGGGAAGAGGAGGGGGAGGAGGGGGAGGAGGAAGGGAATAGATGGGGGAGGATGATGACAGCATTACAAAGATCTCACCTGTACAATAACACACACACACACACACTTGGTTAGACAGGAACGACGTGTTAACAGTCATCAGTAGTTTACTTTAATTACTAGATCACTCACCTACACTAAGCCATTGTACCTCTATAGAGTTACGAAACTTAATGCTGTCTTGAGTCTGTGATCAATTTCGTAAAACTTGATGACACTAAATCTAATGTTATTCGATTTCTTACTAAAGAGTTTATGGTCCAGGCTAAAGATCTTCCTGTGGATAAGGAACTAGTTGTTGGGGATGTAAAATCTTTGAGAATCTTGTATTATCATCACCAGTGTCCATGAAACGTTTGTATTCCTCCCATGAAAGAGGCAGACACTTGGTTGGCCCTTCATGGTGTAGATGCTGGACAGAACGACCATCATTCACTTTTTACTCACTATATGGTAAGTGGTGTCGATGCATGCTGGTACACCAAGGAAGAGCTTGGGGTTATTCCGGTATATAAAGTAAGGCAGTCTATTCTCCCCGGTACTTATTGACAACTGGGTGTAACACTACTGATCCATTTAGTGGTCATGGAAAGACGTCAGCCTGGGAAACTTGTGTCTTCCATTTGGTGATAATTCTGAGAACTCAACAATCCATGTATTCCAACTTAATCCATGTAATCCATCTTAATCCATGTAATCCATCTTAATCCATGTAATCCATCTTAATCCATGTAATCCATCTTAATCCATGTAATCCATCTTAATCCAAGTAATCCATCTTTCTCTGACAGTGAAGAAGAGGAATCAGGTGATGAACGACAGACATGAAGGATTGTTCTCATGATAAAAAACTTGCCCACACGCCTCTGATGCTGTTTTATACTTGGTAAAGAAACTGAGCTATCGTAGGGCGGTGAGGACGTATTGGTAGTGACTCTCTGTACATAGGCCGTCCCTCACACCCCCACACCGTTCCTTACACCCCTACACCGTCCCTCACACCACTACACCGTCCCTCACACCCCTACACCGTCCCTCACACCCCCACACCGTCCCTCACACCCCCCACACCGTCCCTCACACCCCCACACCGTGTTCGACTCATCAAACACTCACTCGAGGACCAGCATCACCTACAGACACTCACTCTCAAGATCTCACTCAAACTATAATAAAAAAGGACGAAAAATAGAAGCCCCTTAATGAAGACAATCTCACACAATTAGAATTTGAGAAAGTTCATTAAACAACATTTAGATGTGCTTAAAGGACAGACAATCTCTGCCAATCAAAACTCAGAAACTCCATTACACTAAATTGGATAGGTCGAGGCCCATCCCACAACGCCGCTGTGTGTTCATCCCAACATCAATCGAGTCAAGTTTGATGAGAATCTGGGAAACCAAGAGTCGCTCAAAGATGATGTCTCCCCAGGGCCCCATAGGAGGGAGAGACGGAGGGAGAGACGGACGGAGAGAGGGAGGGACGGACGGAGAGAGGGAGGGACGGACGGAGAGAGGAGGGGACGGACGGAGAGAGGGAGGGACGGACGGAGAGGGGGAGGGACGGACGGAGAGAGGGAGGGACGGACGGAGAGAGGGAGGGACGGACTTATATATTATATGTGTGTAACAAGCGCCGTGAAAACCCCCTGGAAATTTGATAAACGAGAGGAGTTTCCGAGAAGGCTGGACACTAGGAAGGACGGACAGACAGACGAACATATATTACAAATTACAAATAAACCTGAAAGAGAAAACTTTTTTTTTTTCACCAAACATCAAATTACAAGACTGAATTTCACCCTCGATCTGAGACTAATGGTGATAATGGTGATAGCTCAGTAGCGACGTATTTATATCACCTTTAAATACACCATTACACAGTACCCCGTCAACACTTGGCTCTACATAACACCATTTAAATCCTGTTGTTACCCAGATTTGGTTTTTTTCAGTTCAATACTTAACAGATTTCAAGAGCATATTACAGACCAGTTACCAGTACTCAACAGATTTCAGGGACATGTTACAGACCAGTTACCAGTACTCAACAGATTTCAAGAGCATATTACAGACCAGTTACAGCAGCACTCAGCCAAGTTTTCATTCCTTACAGTATATTAAACGTCGGTGTATAAGATAAACTTTATATCATCTGAAATTTAGGCATCCACACAGAGATAGTGAGGTGAGAGATAGTGAGGTGAGAGAGATAGTGAGAGGTGAGAGAGATAGTGGGAGGTGAGAGAGATAGTGAGAGGCGTGAGGAGATAGTGAGAGGTGAGAGAGATAGTGAGAGGCGTGAGAGAGAGATAGTGAGGTGAGAGAGATAGTGAGAGATAGTGAGGAGGCGTGAGAGATAGTGAGAGAGATGGTGAAAGAGATGGTGGGGTGAGAGAGAAGAGATAGTGAAGAGATAGTGAGAGGCGTGAGAGAGAGATAGTGAGAGAGATAGTGAGGCGTGAGAGAAGTAGTGAGAGGTGTGAGTGGAAAGTGTGTGTAAGCGACCCAAGGGAAGGAAGCGGGGACGGAGGGGGGGCGACTCAAGTGCGTCTCCACAAGGGTCAGGAGAAGCAACTAACTCAAACCTCAATACCCGCCAGGTAGTGACTCACCTAGTGACTATATTACCCAGGTAGTGACTCACTCCCTGGGGCGTCTCAACCAAATAACTTGTTAAGTGAAGAGTATATTAACTTTCAAATTATTTACTTATACTTAAAAATACTAACACACACACACACACACACACACACACACACACACACAGTAAGAGGAAGACAGCCACACTCACCACACAGCGCCACCATCCTGCTGTTCCATATCTTCCTGAAGGAGGTTTGGGAAGTCCTGCGGTAGTCCTTCAGCAGAGGCGTCAAGGAGGTCCTATGAAGGTGGACAGGAGGCAGGCGAAGTGGGGGGGGCAACAACTGTCACCTGTGTTACCTGGTTGGTCTCACTCAGGTATTTACTCTTGTTTAATTTACTTATCCTTATCCATCACAAAACAGTAAATCAATATGGACAAGTCTCTGGGGTTTTATTTTTTCCCAAGTGGATTAAAGTGGATTAATCCTCTTCTTGAAAGGAATTAAATACGTTTCAATAATTTTCTTCTTATAACCTCTAAATCATGTACAGGTATGAACTAATAATCACTCTTAATTTTTTAACATTATCAAATTAATTAACCTGGATTTTTTTTTCTGTTTATTTATGTTCAGGTAATATTTTCTGTCATCAATAATATCTTTTATTTTAACTATGACATTGCCTTATGAGTAAAGTCTGGGTCACATCATAATTAACATTACCTACGTTACACATACACCTGGAAGTTAAATACCAGTGTTAAATACAGGTAATTGAGGAGATATAGTCCCCTTTAGCTACGCCACGATACCCTATACCACACCACAATACCCTATACCACGCCACGATACCCCATATCACGCCACAATACCCCATACCACGGCACAATACCCTATACCACGGCACAATACCCTACCACGGCACAATACCTATACACGGCACAATACCCATATCACACCACATATTACCTATATCACGGCACAATACCCCATACCCCCTGTACCCATACCACGCCACAATACCTATACCACGCCACAATACCCCATACCACGCCACAATACCCCATACCACGCCACAATACCCATACCGCCACAATACCCCCTCCGCCACAATACCCCATACCACCACATACCCTATACCACGCCACAATACCCCATACCACGCCACAATACCCCATACCACGCCACAATACATACCGCCACAATACCCCATACCGCCACAATACCTATACCACGCCACAATACCCCATACCACGCCACAATATACCGCCACAATACCCCATACCACCACAATACCCTATACCACGCACAATACCCATACCACGCCACAATACCCATACCACGCCACAATACCCTATACCACGCCACAATACCCATACCACGCCACAATACCCATACCACGCCACAATACCCATACCACGCCACAATACCCTATACCACGCCACAATACCCCATACCACGCCACAATACCCTACAGCACAATACCTATACCACGCCACAATACCCTATACCACGCCACAATACCCCATACCACGCCCATACACACTACCCTATACCACGCCACAATACCTATACCACGCCATACCCCATACCGCCACATACCCCCATACAATGCCCCATACCCGCCACAATACCCCATACCGCCACAATACCCCATACCGCCACAATACCCCATACCACGCCACAATACATACACGCCACAATACCCCATACCGCCACAATACCCCATACCACGCCACAATACCCATACCACGCCACAATACCCATACCACTACAATACCCCATACCACGCCACAATACCCCATACCACGCCACAATGCCCTACCACGCCACAATACCCCATACCACGCCACAATACCCCATACCACGCCACAATACCCATACCACGCCACAATACCCATACCATACAATACCCCATACACCACAATACCCATACCACGCCACAATACTATACCACGCCACAATACCCACCACGCCACAATACCCCATACCACGCCACAATACCCATCCACATACAATACCCCATACCACGCCACAATACCCCATACCAACCACAATACCCATACCACGCCACCATACCCCTCCTATACCACGCCACAATACCCATACCACGCCACAATACCCATACGCCACAATACCCCATACCACGCCACAATACCCTACCACGCCACAATACCCCATACCACACACAATACCCCATACCCGCCACAATACCTATACCACACAATACCCCATACCACCCACAATACCTATACCACGCCACAATACCCCGCCACCCCCACATACCCTCAATACCCCGCCTATACAATCCATACCACGCCACAATACATACCACGCCACAATACCCCATACCACTCCTTACCTATATCGCCACAATACCCCTATATCGCAACAATACCCTACCACGCCACAATACCCCCACGCCACAATACATACCACGCCATCCCATATCACCCCCCCATACCACGCCACAATACCCCATACCACCACAATACCCCATACCACGCCACAATACCTATACCACGCCACAATATTACCCCATACCACGCCACAATACCCCATACCACGCCACACACTCCTATACCACGCCCATACCCTATACCACACCACACACACAATACCCTATACCACGCCACAATACCCAATATCACGCCACAATACCCCATACCACGCCACAATACCCCATCTCCAGCTATGACTCGCTTCGCCTGGCGTGCGAAAAATACGGTAGGAACATTGTCCCGTTCACCAGCCGAGCGTATGGGACGTAGCGAGTGTACAGCCCAACTGAACGCTGCCCACCCTCCGTGAGCTAAGGGACCACAGGAGGAAGCGGCCAGAACTGTCCTTGGCACCCAGGCTTGAATTCTCTGGCCGTCAACACCTGGGTCATTACGGCCATGGCACCTACAGGATAATGTGTCGTGGGGTGGTTCTTATCGGAGCCTATTAACTCCTCACAAGGTAGTTTACAGGACCGGTTCCTTTATAGAATACTATCAGAGCCATGTATGACTCCCATTATTATTTATTACTGGATATTTTCAGGTTTCTGGGCGCCATGTTCTTTAAATAAACAGTTTATTATTATTATTATTATTATTATTATTATTATTATTATTATGTGTCACTCCCGATGTTCTTTCCATCCATTGCCACTTCTCTCTCTTTCCTCTCTCATCCATATCCTCTTCCCCCTCCCATCGCTATTCTTCTCCCTCTCCACTTATCCTCTTCTTCCTTATATATTCCTCCCTCCTCCACATCCTTCCCTTTTCTCATTTCTCCTCTTCCCTCTGACACTCCATTCCATTCCTCTACATTTTTCTTCTTCCTTTCTTCCTAACTCCTCACGCAAATTCCCCCAGGGTATTATTGACTTTTCTCCTCCTCCTCGCCCTCTCTCATCACCCTCGATCCCCCCACCAACCAAAGGAACTTGTGTAAATATGGAGATGACGGTCCCAGGGGTGTGGTGGTGGGGTGTGAGGGTCCAAGGGTGTGTGGTGGTGGTGGTGAAGGGTCTCAAAGTGTGTGGTGGTGGAGGGCCAAGTGTGTGGTGGTAGCGGTGGAGGGTCTCAGTGGTGTGGTGGTAGTGGTGGAGGGTCTAAGTGGGTGTGGTGGTGGTGGAGGGTCCCAGGGTGTGTGGTGGTGGTGGTGGTGGAGGGTCCCAGGTGGTGGTGGTGGTGGTGGAGGGTCTCAGGGTGTGGTGGTGGTGGTGAAGGGTCCCAGGGTGTGTGGTGGTAGCGGTGGAGGGTTCAAGTGGGTGGTGGTAGCGGTGGAGGGTCTCAAGTGGGTGGTGGTGGTGGTGGGTGGGAGGTCCCAGGGTGTGTGGTGGTGGTGGTGAGGTCCAGGTGTGTGTGGTGGTGGTGGAGGTCCCAGGGTGTGTGTGGTGTGTGGTGGGAGGGTCCCAGGTGTGTGGTGGTAGTGGTGGGAGGGTCCCAGGGTGTGTGGTGGTGTGGGGTGGAGGGTCCCAGGGTGTGGTAGGTGAGGGTCCAGGGGTGTGGGGTGGTGGGGTGGTGGAGGTCCCAGGGGTGTGTGGTGGTGGTGGTGGTGGGGTCCCAGGGTGTGTGGGTGGTGGTGGTGGAGGTCCCAGGGTGTGGTAGGTGGAGGGTTCCAGGTGTGGTGGTAGTGGTGGAGGTCCCAGGGTGTGGTGGTAGTGGTGGAGGGTCCCAGGGTGTGTAGGAGGGAATACAACAGGCCCAGGAGAGAACAATGGGGAGATCTCTAACACGCTGCATGAGTCCTAGACACGGGTGAGAGGAGGACCTGACAGTGTGAGGGCAATGTGTAGGGGAGGGTGGCTGGCCTGAGGGCTCAACACACACACACACACACACAGAGGGAGGGTAGGGGAGGGAGGGAGAGAGGGGGGGTGGAGGGGTGGAGGGAAGAAGAGAGGACGGCTGGAGAGAGAATGGATGAATGGAAGGATGGAGGGAAGGAGCGAGGATGGAGGGACTACCTGGCTCACCTCCTCTGACTAGTGGATAGACAATATACCTAACCTAACCTAACCTGCCCTAATGCTCAATTTTTACTTATTGACTCAGTACATACAACAGGGAGAGGAGGAAGCGTTTAAGGAAACCTGTATGATGATGATGATGATAATGATGATGATGATGATGATGATGATGATGATGATCTTGATGATGGCCAAGAAGTGTACACACATGATATATTAAATGATGATTACCCCCCACACGCCGCCTCGTTATACAAGAATCGATTAAACACTTCATTAGTCTAAGTGGCGAAAAAAATATGTTTGTTTTCTCTTTATATGTATGTATGTGTGTGTGTGTGTGTGTGTGTGTGTGTGTGTGTGTGTGTGTGTGTGTGTGTGTGTGTGTGTGTGTTTCACCTGGAGGAGGGAAGGCAGGTGTGGTGATGAGATGACAGGTATTAATCTGCCATGTGTATATAATTGATGATGCACACACACACACACACACACACACACACACAACATGGCCATCCCGTGAGTGAGCTGAGTTACTATGACAACCACATGAGTTCCTCCACAACAAACACTGGACAATACAGGTCATAAAAATGCTACCAAACAACAACCAACCGCCCGAACCGCTAATGAGCTGATAGTGTAGAAGCGTTAGGTTAGGACCACACCTGCCGCTTAAGTCTTACACTGTGTTCATGAAGTGTAAATAAACAAGCAACTTCACCAGTTTTCTTCTTTCTTGTTATTTTTATCATAGTTTATACTAGAACTTGCGTCTATACAACTGACTTATTCCCCAATTATGTAACTGTATATTTTCAGGCTCCCGGTTGCCATGCTCTTTCAATAAACCGTTAATTATTATTATTATTATTACACACATACTTTCTTGTACACACGTGTGATATAGCTAAAGTCTGTTCACTCAGCGCTGGACGGGAGTGTGTGGCCAGAAGCTTCCCTTTGTCAACCCAGTATTTTGCATTTGTTTTATTGGATCGTTTTAATAAATACAAAGACAATAAATAAGTCATTCTATAAAACGAATTTATTTTTTATGGTCAATACCGTGAACTTTAGGAGCCTTGTGTCATGTCCACCCTCAAGGCTATATCAGGTTCAGCTGTGGGCAACTCATTTACCAAACAATTTGACTTATCAGGTAACTTTAGGTAATTTATTCAAGTTTTTAGCTGGCGTGTCTTTACCAGACTCGCGTGTTTCGAGCCAGCGTGTGTAAAGGAATACACCGCCGGTACACCAACCACACGAGCCTGTGTTAACCCCCG